AATGGGGATGGGTAATTGGGTTGATTGTTTGATGATTAAATATAATAATTATATTATTGTGGGTTGAAACCCCTATATGCTCACCAGGCCCCCAAGCCTGACTCACTCAGTTTTCTTTGCATTACAGGTAATGGCACAAGAGTATAAGTTGGTGGACTTGACGAGAGATTTTGGATTATAGATCAGTAGTTATAAATAACTGTTGTAAGGTCTATTTTATACTGTTTATGCTTTTGGTCTGTATCGGAACCTGACATCCCGAGATTTTGTTATTTAATGAAAATACATTTCTTTAAAGAAATGCTTTGATAAATTCTTATCACATTTTGTTTTGGGAACAAATTCCGCAACTGTTTTCTGTAAACGATTACTCTGATTTATAAAACAAAGCATAAACAAATCGGTCTTTTCTGGCCGTGATTTTGTGGATGTCACAACTTCGTTCTTTATTTGAGTAAACCAAAAAATGACCATTTTGCCCTTTGGTGTATGTGGTATGTTACTTTTTCTACCTACAATTCAAAAATGAGTATTTTGTCTGAAAAAGATCCTTATAGCCAGGTTTCGTTTCAAATTTCGTCGACTTTTGCTATTTTTTAAATGACGATTTTGCCCTTGGTTAAATTTTATAGGTATAAAAAGGCGGAATGGTGTTTTAAAAAGACTTTGGCTCACATACCATCACCATTAAGTGAAATGTGGGAATCAACTGTGGTTAATCTTGCTCATACTTTAAGAAAACTCAAGTAAGTTCACATTTCATATATTTTCATAATCTTTACAATTTATAAAAACTTATTATTGTGTTTAGTTTAATTTTTTTAGTGAAGCAATTGCATATTACGAAAAGGCCCTTGCACTATCTACAAGAAGCTTAAGCACGTACCATCTGAAAACGATGCTCAGAAACTTGAACGTTTGCTTACTGGATTCTTTCCTTATATATGTCATTTGATTGATTGTTAAGATGCTATTAGTAATTTTCATAAATTTGGTAACTTTGATATAGAGTCGATTGTTAACGCTTTAGCTGATTGCATGATTGATGCGAAAGAAAACTTAGATGGTAATGAATTGCAATCACTTGCAGGTGTTTTTAGAACAAGAAAACAAGCTATTGGTGTGGTTTTTTAAAGTCTTTTTTTTAATCAAAAATCTAATCCGCTCACTCATTGTCTATAATTTCCATCTTTCAGAAACTAAAATCATTTTGTGATTCCAATCCACCCGTGAATGATGCAGGCTGTAGGCTGAATGTGACAGACTACAAAATGAAGGTCCATTACTATACAATTTAGAATGGGTTAAAGCATGTAAGAAAAACACATCACGTGAAGCTGTTGAAAAACATTTTGAAGAGACTAAAGAACATGAAAGCTGTAATGGACTTCAGAGATTGGTGCAAAAATGAATGTGTCAGGCTTCTTGGATCCAAAGGCCTCCTATATGTTGAATATGTCTTCATTAATATAATATTATGTTCTACTACGTGATACAACTTGAAACAAGAGAAAATAAACTAACACAGCGCCAAAGGCGCACATGATTCCCCTCTAGTTAAATCATAAGAGTACAAATTATTTCAAATGCAGAATCCATGAGGGGAGGATGATGTGCCATCACGTCGGGCCCTTCCCTTTGGAACTGGAAGTACCTGAAACCATAAACACAAACTGTAAACATAACGCTTAGTGAGTTCCCCAAGTACTACATACCACACATGAAAAAATATAAATGTTATGGGCCAATTCATAGTCATATAGTAGTTTCCTTCCATGGGTTAAACCATGGTCTTTCCGTTCAGTGCCGAGGGCCAAATCTCGGTCTTGCATACAAATGCCAGGGGGGCAGATCCTGATCTTTCATATAACTGCCAAGGGCCAGATCCTGGTCTTTCATACAATGTCAAGAGCCAGATCCTGGTCTTCCATATAATCATTACAAGGCATCCAAAATTCTACACAACAAATAATGGGCCGACATTGGTGCCTTCGACCCATGGATCTAGTGAGGAAACTCACCTCAACTGCTGAAAAACCCAGATAAACGCTCGGGCTGCTGGACTGGAGAAATCCCCGTGCTAACCCCAAATGGTGCACAATAAAGAGGAGATGATAGATCCACAGTATTGAGAGCAAAGCTTACTCCTTGAAGGTCCTTTTTCACAATCAAGGAAGCACACAATCACTCCAAAAAACTCAAAATGCTCAAAATGAACTAGGGTTTGCAAAGAGGACCGATCTTGGGATGAAGGTTGATAAAGGGAAAGGTCTTGGGGCCATAATGGTGTTTAAATAGTGCATAAACCCTAATTATTAGGGTTTTGGTCCGAACCACGTATGTCCGGCATACCGGAATACGCGCAACGTACTGGCACGGGACATAGTATGCTCAGCGTACCAAGGCGTACACCCCGCATATTCGAGCAACACCAAAAAGTCACGGATTTTGACATCGAGGACCCTTCTTGCAACAAATCAAAACTCAAGGGTCCAAAAGCAAACCTGAAAAAATAGATGTTACATGGTGTGTCATATTTTCCATAAACTTATCTCGTGCACCCTATTTTAGATATGTTATGTACATTTGTAGATAATAATATTTTCATCGTAAAACAATAGTATATTTATTTTTTAGGCAAAAATATAGAACGTCACATAAACTAGATTAATGTAATAAATCTTGTTATTTTTTTTTTAACGGAAAATAATAATATTTTCTCATATATCTGTGATTGAAACCCGGACCATCTTATTAACCAAATAGACTAGCCTTAGTCTGCAAACATTGCAGTTAATAAAAAGTCATTTGTCCCTACCTCTCTCCCTCTTCCCCAAACTGTGTGATTAGTTTCTTTGCTTACAACAACGATGATCTTACATTACTCATCCTTCACCATTTAGCAACTTGATTTGCTTAACTACAGAGTGCAGTAAGAGGAATGACGCATTCAAATGAACAATATGCAGAGAGATTAATCAATCTAAATAATACTTTTGCAGTTTTGGCAACATTTTAAAGCAATTTTAAAACTTAAATTTAACCGATGTGATGTGGATGACTATGTGTTTATTTATAAGTTTTCTTAATTGGTATATTTAGATCGTATGTATGTAATTTATGAGTTTCTTTTAATGTAATCAAATATTCAGATATGCAGTATAAAACTACAAATATATATAGTCGTTAAATATTTTTGTAGACATATAACGTTAAACAATGAGAAAGATATAATTTGATTGTGTTTTGAAAAGATTAATGGTTTTATAAATTTTGTTCTACTCATACATGCATGGTGCTTCTTCCATCTAGGAGACAAACATCTATATTTCTAAAGTAATATTTTGTACCAATATGGAGAAATGTAATAACATTTATTTACGGTACCAAGTTTTTACAACATATACCAAAAATTTTGGGATCATTATTTTGACAAAAACAGTATATTTAAAAGTTAAAGGTTGAAAAATGGAACTTTAATATATATTGGGGTATTTCGTGTAAATATGTTTTTTATTTGCAGTAACCAATGTGGAAATGGTTGTACAAGTTGAGATGCAGAAGTTACAATACGTCGTTGCCTAGGTCTACCTTTTAAATATTGTGCTAGGCTGATTGATGTGGCAGAAGACTTCCAAAATCATGAACTCATGTTGAACAAGAAAACCCACCTGTCGTCGAAGATTTCATGAGAGTGATTCATGGAGTCTACCTCGGATTACTGATCGAGAAAGAACTCTGCAAGAGTGATGCAACTCCACAAAGAAACACCCTAATGATGCCACTCTCCATGATCAAACACAAAGAGATTTCAATCTTTTGGTGTTGCAAGATGAAAAAATTGATTTGTACGTTGGTGGACCCAATAAAAATCCCTACGGAGTTGATTTGGTTTTAGCCGACCTGTGCGACTCCAGGCCTCCAATGCAATGCCTCAAAACTCCATGGAAGCTGGTTTTGATTGATCACTCTGTTAAAGACAAGATGATCATCTAGTTGTGGGTTTTCCGTTACCAAAATAACCCAGATAAGCATGCCATGCTCATGTTACTCAAGGACATTATGAAGAATGAACCAATACATCTTAGGTGGATCAGTTGCTGCTGGTAAGAACATGAGCATTGTGGAGAGTTTAATAGTGGGGAAACGGAAGGAAAATGTCATTTGAAGCTAGAGATGATGATGTTTTTGGAAGTGATCGTAAACTAGGGTTCAACGTTGAAAATAGTTTTTTTTTTTTTTTTTTTTTTTTTTTTTTTT